GAAGAGGGGTAGTTTATATACGGCGAGTATAGCTCAAACCCTATATTTTACCAGGAAAAGTAGGGGGTCGTCTTATACGCCGGCAAATACGGTATTTATACACTGACACTAATTGCAATTTAAAAAGCTACAGATGTGGGACAATAAACTGTAATTGGCATTTTATCCCGTGTGTGTCACCTTGTGTGTCTGTACCAAGGCCAAACATTCCAGGGGAGGGAAGCTTCTGATCCGGCCATTCGGGTGATTTCTGTTATCATTATGATTTAAAAAGGAGCCAAACAACTATTTGATAATAAATGGCTTCATATGATCATCATCCTTCAATAAAAGAGCATTTTTTGGCACGATCAGTCATATTTTCAATATCAATGCCAGAATTTCACAATTTCTGCCAGGGTGTGCAAACTTCTGAACACAACTGTATCTGTTCAAAACTCTTTATAAAGTGCACTTTAAAGGCATAAATACTGTACAGGGACATGATTAAAAATTAATTTGTAAATGCATTGAAAACCAATTAATCCGTTCGTATTGCGAAAAAAATTCATAAACCGAGACATTATTTTCAATGGATTCGCAAACCGAAAATTACGTTAACCGAGGCGTTTGTAAACCGAGGTATGCCTGTTCTTATATAGTGTTGTCAATTTACACAGCACTTTTACATATATATTGTACATTCACATCAGTCCCTAACCCTCAAGGGGCGTACAATCTAAGGTCCCTAACCCTCAAGGGGTGTACAATCTAAGGTCCCTAACTCACATTCATACATACACATACTAGGGGCAATGTAGACAGGAGACAACTCACCTACCAGCATGTCTTTGGAGTGTGGGACAAAGTCATTTGTCTCCAGATAGAGAGGAGGGCTGCAACCAGGTATTCTTACCATGGGGTCTGTTGGATGGTTTAAGGGCCGGATCACGCTATAGAAACGCAGTCCGGATGCGTTTCCGCATGCGCGTTTTGATGCATTTCAGTGCGTTTTTGACGCATTCTACTATTTTTTTTTTATGCATTCCAGTTCATTTTTTTCCCCTCTCTTCAATGTAATTAGGGACATGTGCATTCCAGTGCATTTTTTGGTGCATTTTGATGTATTCCAGTGAGCTTTTTATGTGTTTTACTGCATTCCAGTGCAGTTCTGTGCAGGAAGAATGCAGCCTGCTCTACTTTTTTTTCTGCAACCGAAATGCACTGGAACTGATGTGAACTATGACATTGACAACCATATCACCTATTTTCTGTGCGCTTTGGATGCAGAAAAAAAGCAACTGAGATGGAGTGTGAACTGGCCCTTAGCCTTCAGTCTTCTAGTAATTCAGAAGTGAGTGTATTAGTCCAGGCCACCAGGTGATCCACCTCCTCTTCCTGAAGTTCTCCATCACGGCTGGATCCACAGAACCACGTCGTAGCATCTCGGTTGACATCAGATCTCTGGCTTTGTGTGTGGCTCTGTGTGTCCCAGGAACTCCATGCCAAAATTTTCTGAAGAGGCAAGAAGGGAGAGTTAGGGCTTGTTCACACTTGACTTCTTCCCAAATGCCCCTATAGCATTAGACAGGTGTTTAATGAGCTTTAAAAACACTCCCCAAACGCCCTATGTGCGGTTTGGAGGCATTTTATAAGCGTTTTACAAGCGTTAAAACCGCACCACAAACACCTGTAATGAACTTAATGGTATTAACGCCCCGCAAACGCCTCGCAAATGCCCCGCAAATGCCTGCCAGGCATTCGAGGAGCATCACCATAGACTTGAATGGAAGGCGTAGAAAGGCTTCAACTCCTGACTCGATATGAGGCATTGTGGCAGCACCCAAATATTGCAGAGTTCCCCTCTAAGCTTTAACCTTTCTAAAAGCATCTGTTTGGAGAACCAGGTCATCGACTCACTTCCTCCCCTCATTTCCTGTGGAACAAAGTGTTTCAGTCTATCAGCTGACACCCTAACTTCCAGTTGGTGATATTTTATCTAAATGTGAAACCGCCAAGGATATATCGTGAACTGCTCAGAATGTATTTTAAAGCTACAAAAAGTAAAGAGGAAATATATGCATTGTGACGTAATTGTTGATATACACCATGTAAGATGCTTCTCAAGGCACTTAGCTTGCAGACACGAGTCTGGCTAGGTCAGCAAGCCGGTAAATAAAAAGCTTGTTTTCCTCAAGTTCGTGTCCGGAGTTTTCCTGGAATTCCCAAAATTGCAATTACAGCATCAATTTTGACGCGATGCTAACGCTTCAGTGTGAACAGCACTGTGAGCTGCCATGTGTATCATTTTCATACGTTTTTCATAGCATTAAAAACGCCCCTCAAATGCCTGCTTTCAATGCTAGTGTGAACTAAGCCTTAGAAAGGCGGGGGTGCAGAGCTAAGAGGTCCTAAGCTGCCACATGAACACTGCCACCCGCTATAGGCAAGTGACTTCATCTTACCGCGTAAATGCATGACTAGGCAAAAGTCACTACAATAAACATTTAATACAATGATCATTACTGCTGTCAGGTCTGGAAGGGAAGAAACCAAAATCAAGAACACGGGGACGTGACCTAAACTAAATGGAGGAAAGTTCAAAACTAAACTCAGAAAGGACTATTTGACTGAAAGGGTAGTTGATACTTTGAATAAACTTCAAGCAGAGCTAGTGAGCCAGGCAACAGTAAATGGCTTCAAACATGCGTGGGACAATCACAGATCTATACTCAGACAAAAAAGTTAAACAAAAAAAAACAACAAAAACAAAAAAACAAACACCCCCCAAAAAAAACAAACAGCTCACAGAACCCCTGCCAGGACTTCGAATGGCATCCGCAGAATCTCTACCAGTACTTCCAATTAGGCTCGCAGAACCCCTGCCAGGACTTCGAATGGCATCCGCAGAATCTCTACCAGTACTTCCAATGAGGCTCGCAGAACCCCTGCCAGGACTTTGAATGGCATCCGCAGAATCTCTACCAGTACTTCCAATGAGGTTCGCAGAACCCCTGCCAGGACTTCGAATGGCATCCGCAGAATCTCTACCAGTACTTTCAATGAGGCTCGCAGAACCCCTGCCAGGACTTCGAATGGCATCTGCAGAATCTCCACCAGTACTTCCAATGAGGCTCGCAGAACCCCTGCCAGGACTTCGAATGGCATCCGCAGAATCTCTACCAGTACTTCCAATGAGGCTCACAGAACCCCTGCCAGGACTTCGAATGGCATCCGCAGAATCTCTACCAGTACTTCCAATGCTGCTTGCAAAAGTTCTGCCAGGACCTCCAGCATCCCTTCCAGTACACAAATGGCACTTGCAAAAATATATTTTTCTTCCATGTTGGAAGGAAAACTGGCAACAGGGTCATGGGCCAAAGCTCATTGGTGCATGTGGGGAGCGAAGGCTCCTCATCCAATAGAAGAGCTACTGTAGCTACAATTGCTGAATTGAAAAAGTGAATGCTGGTTGTGATAGAAAGGTATCAGAACACACAGAGCATCACAGTTTGTAGAGCACGGGGCTATGTAGCTGCAGACCGGTCAGGGTACCCATGCTGACCTGTGCCTAAAATGGGCATGTGAGCGTCAGAACTGCACCACGGAGCAATGGTAGAAGGTGGCCCGGTCTGTTAAATGCAACACTGTTTTCAGGAACACAACAATGAGTTTGAGGTGCTGACATGGTCCTGAAATTCTCCAGATCTCAATCTAATTGAGCATCTATGGGATGTGCTGAATAAACAAATCTGAATCATGGAGGCTCCACCTGGCGACTTACAGGACTTAAAGGACCTGCTACTGACAGTTTGGTGTCAGATACCACAGAACACCTTCAGAGGTCTACTGGAGTCCATGCCTCAAAGGGTTAAGGTTGGTGGTCATAATGTTATGGCTGGTGTGTGTGTGTTTTTAAAAAAAAAATATATATATATATATACACACAGTATATATATGAATTTTGGCTGCTGATAACTTGTTTCAGATCTGTGACCACAATAAAGCCAAGGATAACCAGGCCGCTAGTATTTTCAGCACTGGAAGCCAGGGCCGGTGCCTTCACTAGGCAAATTAGGCAGCTGCCTAGGGCGCACTGCCACCTGGCACTGTGTGGCCTATGGACCACTTGTAGGAATTCTTCATTTCTCTACACAGAGAATGATGAGATAATGATGGTAGCCTGTACACTGTCCGTGGCTGCGTGTCCCTGGAGGCTGTCTGCTGCTGAGTGCCCTGGGAGCTGCTGCTGTCTGCTGATCACTGGTTGTCCCTAGAATGCTGACCGCTGGTCGTCCCTGTCTGGAGCCGCCTGCCACTGAGGGTCTGCAAGCTGCTTACCGTGAGTGTCCTGAACTGTCCCCACTGTGTGCACCGACCACCCGTGTCCTGAACTGTTCCTGTTGTGTGCACTGACCACCCGTGTCCTGAACTGTCCCTGTTGTGTGCACTGACCACCTGTGTTCTGAACTGTCCCCGCTGTGTGCACCGACCACCTGTGTTCTGAACTGTCCCCGCTGTGTGCACCGACCACCATGTCCTGAACTGTCCCTGTTGTGCGCACTGACCACCTGTGTCCTGAACTGTGCCTGCTGTGCGCACCGACCACCCGTGTTCTGAACTGTCCCCGGTGTGTGCACCAACCACTCGTGTCCTGAACTGTCTCCGCTGTGTGTGCACTGACCACCCGTGTCCTGATGGCATGCCCGGAGTATAGCTACCTGTGGTGCCCCGTGAACCCAATGACCCTAGAAAGCTGGGTGGGAGCTGTGCTGTGGCCAGTCTCCACAGCTAGAGTCCCGTTGAGTCCCCGAGGCCCCTGCCCAGGGGTAGATTGCCGCCTGTTGCCCGAGCCCCTGTCCAGGGGTAGATTGCCGCCCGTTGCCCGAGGCCCCTGCCCAGTGGTAGGTTGCCGCCTGTTGCCCGAGCCCCTGTCCAGGGGTAGATTGCCGCCCGTTGCCCGAGGCCCCTGCCCAGTGGTAGGTTGCCGTCTGTTGCCCGAGGCCCCTGCTCAGTGGTAGGTTGCCGCCTGTTGCCCAAGACCCCTGCCCAGGGGTAGATTGCCGCCTGTTGCCCGAGGCCCCTGCCCAGTGGTAGGTTGCCGCCTGTTGCCCAAGGCCCCTGCCAGTGGTAGGTTCCGCCTGTTGCCCGAGGCCCCTGCCCAGTGGCAGGTTGCCGCCTGTTGCCCGAGGCCCCTGCCCAGTGGTAGGTTGCCGCCTGTTGCCCGAGGCCCCTGCCCAGTGGTAGGTTGCGCGCCTGTCGCCCGAGGCCCCTGCCCAGTGGTAGGTTGCCGCCTGTTGCCCGAGTCTCCAATCCGCTGTCCAGTCATGGAGGGAGCTCGGCTGAGGCCCCAAGCCTAGGGGGGAGATTGCCTGCCTGTCGCTGAAGACCCCCCGTGCCTGGAATCGTCCCTGGTTTGCGCACACATCACCCTCCCTGCCATTTCCCCATTGAGTGTCTGTCAATTTGTTGCTTCAATAAAGTTTTGTGTGTTCCCCATCTTCTCCGTGTGCTCTGTCCTGCCTACGCTTCCGTACAATTGTCTCACAGCCTGTACACACACATGACCATTTAGTACCTTCTACACAGCTAGAGCCTATGGGGAAGCCAAGGGAAGTGGTGTAGTGCTGGGAGGCTGCCTGTCCTCACTGAGAGCAGCAGCCTGAACTCTGTGCCCCGGCAGGAGCCATCAGAGGTGAGCTTAGCCTAGGAGGACAGTGGGTCATGGTGGTGACGGGAGGAGGAGGGGGGGTGGACAATGGTCGGGGTAAAGGGAGCAGATGCTGATTAATCGTGTGGGACGCCGCCATGTCATGAATGATCCTTCAGCTGAGGAAAGGGGGAGGAAGAAAGGACAGAGGAAGATGCCAGGTGTCTGGGGTCAGTGTAGCAACTGAGCTGCCGCTCCTTCCAGTGTTCCTCTCAGACTCAGTCCCTTACTTTAAGCTGACTGGTGGCCGCTGATCACTGTGGAGTTTTGCAAGTCTGTTGCTTTTTTTTTTGTTGTTTCTCTGTCTGATTGGTTAATACAGTTAATTTATTTATTTATTTTAGGTATTTATATCTCGCCGTCAATTTACGCAGCTCTTTACATATATATTGTACATTCACATCAGTCCCTAACCCTCAAGGGACGTACAATCTAAAGTCCCTAACTCACATTCATACATACACATACTAGGGTCAATTTAGACAGGATCCAATTAACCTACCAGCATGTCTTTGGAGTGTCGGAGGAAATCGGAGCACCCGGAGGAAACCCGCACAGGCACAGGGAGAGCATGCAAACTGCAGGCAGGTGGTGCTGTGGTTGGGATTCGAACCAACGACCAGAGTACTGCCAGGCAGAAGTGCTAACCATTTTGCCACTGTGCTGCCCATATAAATAGCTAATATATATTTTGTCTTTAATATTGGTGCTGGTGGCACTTATTTTTGCAAATTAAAATACATTTAGCAGTTTTATGTTTTGTTGATTTAATATTTAAAATTTTTTTTTGTGGGGGGGGGCACAAGTAGCTGGTCTTGCCTAGGGCGCAAAATATTCTAGCACGGTCCGGTCCTGCTGGCGGCCTTTATATTTCTCTTACGACTGTTGATCTCGTTTGTCAACAATACTACATGATAGGTAGGAACAGGGGCGGACTGACCATTTGGAAACTCGGGTACTGCCCGAGGGCCCGGGGTCAGTAGGGGGCCCCATGAGATGCCCCTGATACCTTTTTCATAGGCTTTTTTGAGTATAGGCAAGGACACAGGGGTCCCATGATCCCCTATTGCCCGGGGGCCCCATGAGTTGCCAGTCCGCCCCTGGGTAGGAACACTCACTATACCTCTGACTGTAGGGAATTTGCATCACCCCAACACATATAACAGATACAGTACATACCCGACAACCGGCAGAACACACATTTGTGAGGGTCCTCCTCACTCCCCAGCCGTATGGATGGAATCACTCTTCTTCTATCATCAATAAGCCCCCTGCGGGTAATGATGTTGTATCTATCCATGCAAAAAGATACATGATGAGAAGTTGGTAGTAGATCAAACAATTTGGTGCCAAGGGTTACGGGCTCATTCAGACGGGTGATTAATAGTGTCCCCCATGCAGAGCCATTTGCAGGCGTGTGTGTATGCACCTTGGACCTACATGCAGGCAGCCCATAGTAGTGCATGCGCATGCAGCGGCTGCACAGACACAATCACATGACAAAGTGGGACATGCAGGCAGGAGCAGGCGCATGGATCCAAAGGCACAGTGTCTGCGTTCAGATCCGTTCACCCACTCTTGCCCACATGTTAAACTTTGACATGCGACTGTGTGTATCCACGTGTATCTATGGGCTGCCTACATGTACATTCATGTGCCAGCAGCTCTGTGTAGAGGATTGGATTAATCACCCCAAATGAATGAGCCCTAAAAAAGGAAACTGTAATGGTTCAATGACAATTCCATTTTGTTTATTTATTATACACATACTATTTGTTTTACAAATTAACCTTTAAACATAACCAAGGATTCCCCAGAGCACTATGGCTTAACTCAACAAACAACACAGAAGAGGGGATTGCTTTCCAGTTAACTTTTTCATATTTATATCTGAATATGTGAAAGAGGAGTAAAGTGACAACTGCTGGCTAGAAAGAAGACTGGATGACATGAATATGATGATATGGAATACAGCCATGTGTTTATTTATTTCAGGTACTTCAAGCAAGTACACACTATAGAGGGATGTGCTTTGTTCATATTTCATGTCTGAGGTTTACAATCTCTCAAAGAGACTATCAACCCCTTGCCTAGCAGGCACATCCACCCCCTTCCTACCCAGGCCAATTTTCAATTTTCAGCGCTCTCACACTTTATTTATTTCAGGTACTTATATAGCGCCATCAATTTACGCAGCGCTTTACATATATATTGTACATTCACATCAGGCCCTAACCCTCAAGGGGCAAACAATCTAAGGTCCCTAACTCACATTCATACATACACATACTAGGGACAATTTAGACAGGAGCCAATTAACCTTCCAGCATGTCTTTGGAGTATGGGAGGCAACCGGAGTACCCGAAGGAAACCCACGCAGGCACAGGGAGAACATGCAAAACTCCAGGCAGGTGGTGCCGTGGTTGGAATTTGAACCAACGACCCTGGTACTGCCAGGTGGAAGTGCTAACCATTTAGCCACTGTGCTGCCCATTTAACCCCTTCAATACCAGGCACTTTTTATCTATTTCCTGCCCAGGCCAATTTTCAGCTTTCAGCGCTGTCATGCTTTGAACTAATATTGCGCGGTCATGCAACACTGTACCCAATCTGAATTGCTTTCTGAAAAGCTTTCTTTTAGTATTTAATCACCACTGGGTTTTTATTTTTTTTACTAAATAAATGAAATGAGACCGAAAATTAAAAAAAAAAAGTTTTTCTTTGTTATAAAATTTTGAAAATAAATAATTGTTCTTCATAAATTTAGGCCAAAATGTATTCTGCTATATTTCTTTGGTGAAAATAACCAAAATCAGTGTATATTATGTAGTCTTTAGGAAAGTTATAGAGTCCACAAACTTTGGTACATACAGAACAGTATACAGTATATTGACCAAATACTTATTTTCCACCATAATTTGCAAATAAATTCTTTCCAGATCAGCCAATGTGATTGTCTGGATTTGTTTTCTCATTTTGTCTCTCATAGTTGAGGTCTACCTATGATGCCAATTACAGGCCTCTCTCATCTTTTTAAGTGGGAGAACTTGCACAATTGGTGGTGACTAAATACTTTTTTGCCCCACTGTATCTGGAAATCGATCAATCCTGATCGACCAATCTCATTTCTTGAGGACCGACAACACTAGGACAGTACAAATACCACCCAAATTACCCCCTTTTGGAAAGTAGACAGTGAAAGGTATTTAGTAAGAAGCATGGAGAGTTTTTGAAGTTGTTTTTTTGTTATACTTTTTTGGGAAATGAAGAAATTAAATTTATTTCACTATTTTTTTACTGTCAGCATCATCATGCAACGGGGTGTGGCGGTGATCAGGGACACGGACTAGTGACAGTACAACAAAAAATTTTTTTTCTTTTTCATTACATTTATTTCCTTTTTTTTTACGATTTTTTTTTTTTTACTCATTGTGACCAGAGTAATATAATGTTACCATCATGCAACTGGTGTGGCGTTGATCAGGGACACTGGCTGGTGACAGTACAACAAAAAAAAAAAATTTTTCTTTTTTTATGATTTTTTTTTTAACTCTCTGTGACCAGAGTAATATAATGTTACCATAGTAACATTGTACTACTCTGGGGAAGTGATCAGGATTTTTTTTTTTTTTTTTTTACACATTATGATTGTTTATAGCAGTGAATTTCACTTCTATAAGCAAGCATTCTACTGAATGAAATTGATTCATTCAGTGTGTTTTGTTGTGATCGGCCAAAGCTAATCACATGGTACAGATGGGCCCTGTCTATACCATGTGATCACTGTGACCAATCACGGCTAGCAACATGATTGTACACAGTGAATGGTATGAACTGAATTGAGTTTACAGTTGTGAAGTGATCAGCTGTGATTGGCCACGGCGATCACATGGTACCAGTAGTGGGCTGGTACACTGATCAGTCATCTGCTGTGCCGGTGACAGATTGCACCCATTCGGCCATGCGTGAGGCTCGTTTTGGGAGGATGTCATATGACATCTATCCGGAAAGACGAACGTCCCGCCCAGCCTATAGCAAATTGAGTTGTGGTTAATCAGCGGTATGTTATCCTACTTACTGTTTGTTTGCATTACTAGTTTCATTGGTTTGCTTGTCCTGTTCTTTGGATTTGAGTCCTTTATGCCCTGCAGAAAAATGGAAAATAGATTGTTAAAACTTAAACTAATTTTGTCAGTAATCCAGAGCTGTCTGGTGTCCTCTGGAGACTCACTGTGTTATCTCTAAGAAGCTATTCAGCCCTCCCAAAGAGGCTATTAAAGTGGCTGTAAACCCTTCCATACCCCCAGTGCAGTGACTGGCCTCAAGTGATACACAGAGATGAAAGAAATCCTCCTACATAAGTTGTACCTGTTTATCTGCAGTGTTCTTTCCTCTACAGCCGTTCAAAATGATGAATTTATAAAGTTTGTCTGAGGTTTCAGAAGGGGATGGAAAGCTGACCTTACACTCTACAGAGCCCAGTGAGGAGAGTTCTGAGAGCTGATTGGAGGAAAGGGATACCCCCCCCCCCCTTTCACACAGCTCTCAAGAACAGAGCTGAGGCTGATAATCTACTGGAGCTCCCTACCCTGTCACCATTATTCTCTTGATGTCAGGAAAACTTGTTGGAAGTGACTCAGATAGCAGAGGAAGGTGGCATCAGACAGAAATGACACTTAGGGGTTGATATACTAAAGGCAAAAAGAATGTGC